GTTTGCGGTACAATGAAATTGAAATTTTACCATTAAAGCACAATCGTGACACTTTACTTTAATTTGTAAAAATTCATTGTAAAAGATATTGCCTCGTATTAACAACAAGATCTACGCTATTCAAGTCAATGTTAAATTAGATCAATTTTTCTAAATCAATTAACAAAGTTTAGAAATGTCGTAGAACAGGAGAGTGCCAATATACTAATGTAACATATTACATTATCGTTATTGTCCGTAAGATATCGTAAGAACAAAAATTTTATTCTTATATTTAATTTATTACCAAGTGATTAAGCAACAAATGATCAATGTGGAAATATATCAAGGAATGTATTGTAAGATGTTATGGAATTAGTGATTTGGCTGCATTACAAAGTGTAAGTTATAAAACTGGAAGTAACATACGTAATTTCCAATACACTTGTCGGATCATCGTCGCTTCAACGGATTCGAATACTCTCAAGTCAAAGTTAAGCACAAGGATATCTAACAGATTATTTATAATGCTAAAACTCGGGGATACCTTGGTATTACAATTATCATATAGAAATGTCGTAATAATCGAAATAAGTAACAGCGACATTTAAAAATCGAAGATTACTCGCGACTTGAGGCAGGTAACGGAGCATCCGTGCATAGCAGGTCGAAAATACGCTAAGTAATGAAATTGAAAGCGGTGTCACCGGTGATGGGAAAAGGCGACCGATAATATTAATGCAACAGCGCTACTTTCCACTTGATTCTCCCTGTGACTAGCTGATGTCCAATTATGCTAGACAAGCCAATGACTTGAAGCGATCGAACAAGAATGCTTTGATGGATCATTGATTAACAAAATTATGAATGACCACTTATTCTTGTAACAAGGGTCCTATTGACAACCATGAGAATAAGCGCAGACCAAATGTGCATGTACCACATGCTATGCTTTCACGTATAATTTGTTATTTCATTATTACATCTCACGTGATACTTGTTCGCCGAGACTTTGGCAATGTTTGTTTATTTAGAAGATACGATTTCTTCTTACAATTTCATCATAACGAGCCATCAAGGATATTACCGTGGAACACTTTTATTAGCCATTTATTCGTACTTATGAAATGTATTGGCTGTCTCTAATTTCGAAAGTGCGGACAGAAATGTACTTTTTAAAATTAATACTCATTGAGTGCGCGAGTATGGAATTCCACAATTTCGACAATAAAGTGCTACTGGGACTATTTCGCGAATCCGGAAAGTTAAAAAAAAAAAAAAAAGAAAAAAAAAAGAAAAAAAAGAAAAAATTAAAATAAAAAAAAAAAAAAAATTTTTACGCTTTTCTA